CCTGCTGAAAGACAGACTAGTCACCTATTAGGTTTATTTCAGCCTGTAAAGTGCCAAAGAGAATGGCACGCCCAACTTTGTAAATAGTCCTCTAAATTAACCTCCCTATTACCTCTTTTCCAATCTACCCAGCTGGTGTCTTGAAGAGAATTCATTAACATCTTAGGCTTTGAATTGTAGTCAATTAACTGTACACATCTTTTTAAAGGGACTGTAAAAGTCTTCATGTGTATTAGAGGAATTATTTATTCTCTCAGAGTTACCAGCCAGTTGAACCAGTGATTTCCCTTCTGTATGGTATTGATGTGAAAAAATAGGCCAGATGGAATTTATGCCTGTGAAAGCTTTTCAGCTTTAGCTCTTGTGATTTGCTGTCTTCCAGGGAGATTGTGGACATTCATGAAAAGGAGAATGCCTTGGACATTGTGACAGAAGACAGAGTTTATCACATTGTCGCAGAGTCACCAGAAGATGCCAGGTATAAGAGGGAGTTTTGTTAGGTTTGTTCATTCAGTGCAGGTCTGACCCAGCTCCTCATGACAGCCTGGGAAATATAATTCCCTTTTGCTGGAGAAAAGAGGGGATTAGTTCCAGAGCATCATTTTGTGCTTACTGGGAGGTACCACACCTCCTGTGGAGACACCCTGTTGCAGCTACTGAGGTGGTGGCTCAGCTTGTGGGTCAGTCACAGGACTGTATGTGGCTGTGAGCATTGCTGAATTCAAGGGTTACTTCAGGAGACACTTAAACCTTAGTATAAACTGGAACATCTAATAGCTGATTTATTTATTAAATGGAATCCTGAATCAAACAAAAAGTCTATTCATGTTGTCTGTAAATGATTGCGAGAGCAGCTGGGTTTTATCCAGGAGACAGAAAAAAGGCCGCAGCTTATCAGAATCTGTAGTGTCATCTGATAAAATCTTCCCAGTGCAAAGCAAACAAATGACTCATGTCCTTCCTTTTTGGTGCCCTGGCCAAGCAATGGGAATCAGTTGTTTAAGGGCAGGTTGGACAACCTGTTCTGGCTATGCAAAGCCCAGTTTAGAAGTTACTGTCCCTAGCTCCTCATGTGTTCCCACTTTTCCACTCTTACCAAGGCTTCTCTTACTTCATTGGAGTGTAGAGAGAGGAAGGGAGAAAGTGTTTGGACAGAAATAAACTAAAGAGCAGCCACATGAACAAGAAATGGGTAAATTCAAGGGGACAGTAACTGAAGAAACAGTAACTTCTTAACCTAGAATTTCCACAACTGGAATAGGCATGCCCTAAGATAGCATTGCAGAATTGCTAGGGCAAGTGTAAATCAAGTGTGACCATATCAGTCTCTGCTCTGAAGGAGGAGAAAGCACCAACACTTACTTACATTAGCAAAGGGCAGTTTAGCAGTTGTTGTAGGTTATCCAATTTTAGAATCCTCCCTGAAGTCTAGCTGTTTTCTGATCTCACTGTAAGCTGCAGATAAGAATCTGCTTGTTCTGCAACAGAGATTAGCCTCCAGATATGTCTGTAATGAGAAGCCCTTTCACAGACAAGTAACTTCAAATTAACTTATTAAAAAACCCATGATTATTTGACAGCCATATGACTTTCAAGTTCATGAGCAGATCAGAGAGAGACTAGTCAAGAAGGCTCCCAGGTGTCTCTAGGGCTATAGTCCAGGAGGATTCCCAACTGACCCTGTCTTTACAACTGCTGTATGCTTTTCTCAGTCTGCTGCTGTGCACTCTCTGGTAAAGCCACTGCCTGCTTACAGTGCCTTGAATAGCAAGAAGAAAACTGGGTTTTGCAAGAACAGCTGTTAGTGGGTTGGAGAACGTGCACAGAATTTTCATGGGTAAATACAGAGGAAGGAAGACATTAGAGTCTGGTGTGATCAGCCCAAGAGAGATTTTGTAGCAGAGTCCTCAGGAAATTGTGAATGAAGAAATTTTCCCACAGGCAGCTTTCCAGGTTCCTTGATCATATTCTAGAGCTAGCCTCACTACTCAAATCTTAACTTGGAATCTGTTTCGATTGGCAGTGGTTGGTTCAATGTGCTGAGCCGAGTACACAGCGCTACAGCGCAGCAGCTGAGGGAAATGCAAGATGAACAGGCCAATCCAAAGAATGCTGTGGTGAGTTACTGTGCAACCAGTCTGTGGGCATGCTTACAGCCCTCTGTTTAACTCTTTTGTATGTATTTTTCCAGCACTTGCAGTTACGTAGTTCATGAGCAATGTAAGAAAGTTAAACTATTGTTACAAAGAAAGAGCAAAGTTGACAGAAAAGAGGGTAAGCAGTGAGGAACATGGTGGTTGTGGTGGGTGGCTTAGCTTGATTACTGAGAGCTCTCCTTGGTTTGAGGGAAGGAGGGGGCTGCCTCATGCAAATAAAATGTCTTTGGATGAGATTATGGAACTAATCTGGGTCATAGTTATTCCAGACAGAAAATATGCAGTTGGGAAGAACAATGTATTTATGTATTTTGCTTGTACTGAGATGCTAGCAAAGGTTATTTCAGACCTTCACAAGGATCTCTGGAAACTTCTAGCTCTTTTTCCTCCAGTCATGTGGAGCTCTTGCACCAGTTTGCATGCTGTTTAGGGAGCAAAGTTGACTAATTTGTGCCTTTTTCATAGGTCAAATTCTACTCAAACTATTGGAATTCAGGAGAATGTTTTCACTTCCAATTGTTTTCACAAAGGAGAATCTCTGTCATTTAAGTTGCAATCAATTCCTGTTATCTGTGTCTTTCTCACTGTACAGGGAACCCTGGATGTTGGGCTTATTGACTCTGTCTGTGCCTCTGACAATCCTGATAGGTAGGTACACCAACCTGACCATCACTTAGATCTAACATATCTTTGTGGGTAGGTCCAGGTTTTCTTTGGGGTTTGCATTTGTTTTAATTCACAAGAATTTAACTACAAGCAAAGAAGCATAACTGAAGTCTTTGGCTTCTTTCAAGCTGTGTCACTTAACAGGCAAGCAATTCACACGTATTTTCTTTAAGTGAAAGTTTCTCCATTCTCTCTTAAATTTGGAAACAGCGTAATCTCGGTGTCTAGAAATTGCAGTCTTACCTATAATTAACACTGAATGAAAATGTCCAGCAGAAGCAGTACTTCCAGGTTTTGAGCAGAGTAATTTTGAGGTATTTTTGTTTAATTTAGGGGAAAGAAACAGCATTGTGGAAGAATAATGGATGATTTTATAAACTTATACCCCTCTTGAAATCTTTGCAATTCAACAGACAACAGACCTTTAGTCCACAGATTGGTTAGTTTCAAAGAATAGATTATGGGACAGTTCATATCACTTTACATGAAATTTAATTATTTCCTACAGTGTTAACAGATTCAGCCAGGGCAAAGATTCTTACTACAGACCTGAGGTAAAATATTAGCTATTAAGCTATTTACCTCTGTGGTCTGTTGTGGTGTTTTTTTTTCCCCTCAATACAGGTTGCCAGGACTTTGGAGTTACTAGTTTAGAAAACATGTATCTCACTAGCAAAGTAAGATTTCATTGATCAAAATGTTTTAGCCAGTTCCCAGCCTGGGCTCCTCATAGTTGATCAGTACCAGTAAAAGACTAGGCACAAACAGCTCAACAGTCAAAATCTGTTCATGCATCTCCTGGGACATGCTCTTCTGGATTATCAATGTTTGAATCAGCGTTAAACAAATTCTGAAGAGAATGCTTGGTTTTCAACCAAGGATTTTATGCAAGTCATTTCTATCTTCCATAGATTAGGCAATGGCCAGACAGTTCTTTGATTCACACCTCTTACCTTTTGCTTCATACTTTCATGCTACTTTTTGATTTCTCTCTTTTCTCGTAGAAATCTGTGTTAGCTTTCGAAGCTTTTTGAGTCTGTCCTCTTGGAACTGGTCATATTTTAATTTTTCCATTTTCCTGTAAACCATCAATTCTGTGCAGAATTGTGAATACTCTTTTGGAAAGACACATTTTTCCATTGCAAGAGGACAAAGTCATCTAAGAGCAACGTGACAGTTTTTCCTGTTTTGTCAGGATCAGCTAATCCTGTTTAAAACCAATCTCAAACCCATTTTAGCTGACCCTGGTGCAACCTACATTTGCTACTGCATCACTGGTTTTAATAAGTACCAGAAGGCTGTACAATCTCAGCCCAGTACTACTTGCACTCAGTCCAGTCAGAAGGCAAAATAAAGTCCTTTGTTTATGAACCCAGGACATTTTACAGCTGCTCATTAGCTAATTAATATTTTCTAATCTTTGGAAATAGCTTTTGAAAGACGTTTAATTCCATTTATCTGGTCTCTGCATTCATCAGTTTGCAGACCAGCTGCACAGAAGATGCTCTGAAGTGTTTCTGCACTTCTCTGTAGTTTGTATTCAGAAAATCTGCATTGTTTACGGGGAGGCAGAGAACATGGCTTGGGGTTGCTGTGAATTGAGGTATTTGTGTAGTTACAGCCAATTTTAATGCTTTTATTTTCTGGCAGACCAAATTCTTTTGTGATCATCACAGCGAATCGGGTGATCCACTGCAACAGCGACACCCCTGAGGAGATGCATCACTGGATCTCCCTGCTGCAGAAGCCGAAGGGCGAATCGAAGGTTGATGGCCAGGAATTCCTTGTGAGAGGTAAAATGATGCAATTATGACATGTGAAACTCACCCTTGATTTATCATCTGAAAGGAAGGTTTGATGGTAGCTAATCCAATCTAGGTTTTAGCTGCTCCCCCAAAAAAATCGTTCTCTGTCCCTCTCCACCTTCTGCCCACTTCCTGCATTGTGCTGGCGCTGGCTTCTCCCTAACAGGTGGATTCAGAAAATTGAAGCTGGAAAAAAATAAGTACTTCTTTATATGTTTGTTTTCCTCATGGTAGTTCCATAGCCTTTTTCATTGTGTCCAGCAAATGCCTTCCGGGAATAGGAGGGAGCATGGCTGCTGTTTAGGAGCAGCTGGCTTAAACTGACTATAACATGACACTGCAGCTTTTGTTTTCAGAAAGCTCTGGTCCTTCTGACACCTGTCATGTCAAGAGGGACAGAGAGAGAGAGCTTTGTGGGATTGCTGCTGTCCTCAGCTAAACAAATTAACCTGATTATGGTAGACATAGAGAGGTGAGAATAATTCTCTGAGGCTGAGCAAAAGATGAAAATTATGTCTCTGGTTAGTGCCTAGTTGGAGTCGAAGGAGCTGATGCATGAGTAGTGATCATGCACATATTACAAAATATTCCTCCATTTGTCTCAAATATTTTAAAATTTTCTTAGTACTTTCATGTCATCATATGGTTTTAGATGTATGAGACATTCCTGATCCAATCTGTGGAAAGCAAATGTGTGAGCAAATTGCCTTATGTCTTCCAGAAAGGATCTATGAGGGAATAAAAATCTTAAGTGTGGTCATGGCAAGGCAGGAGGACAGGAAGAAAAGAGTCACCAAAAAGTAGAATAAATCTTCCATCCTAGTCTTAAACATTACAAGGAGGTTGAGTGATACAAAGCACGCACTATCAGGCAACCTTAAATTCAATATACTCATGAGGCAACAGTTCCTTTTATCTCATGATGTCCATTTGTTAAAGAAGAAGAAAACACTCCAGGTTTTCAAGTCAGTGTAGGCTCTGTATTTGTCACTGAGATAGCTGTGTGACAGTGGTACAGCCACAAAGGCATATAATCGGGAAGATCCGTCTATCTTTTCTTCGTATGGAACCTCTGGGCTCATTCCCCCATTCTTTGAGCTTTTTGCCTTGTGGGGGGACACTGATTTTTACAGCTTTTTATACAAAATTGTCTTTTTGACAGCTTTAGCAACACAGATTGTCTTTTTTATATATAGTATTGAATTTTCTTTTTTTTAAATTTATTTTGCGATTACTCTAACATGAGAGAGAAAATATTTTTCCTGAGCATAAGAGGAAGAGATGCATATAATGCTTAAAGACCTCTCTACTAGGAGACATGTATCACCAAGTCTCTTCCGTCAAGGTTTGGATAGGCATTTGTCATCACTTTGGAAGGATGAATTGTAAATTATTTACTCAGATATTTGTGATTTCTGAGGGAAGCATCCTGAATAGAGGATGTCCTTGTGACAACGGCAAACTCAACCACAGATCACTGATAAAAAGGCTGAAGGGCTGAAGGATATAACATCTTTGCAGAAAATCTGGGTCTATATCTTACAGTGACTGTGCAGGATACTGCTCCCGCCAGTAAAGCACAGCTGGTAGGTCCCAGAATGGGCCTTTTCCAGAGAGGTGGAGCTGTGGTCCCAGAACTAGAGAGCCACCAGGCAAGAGACAGGATTGCTGTAGTGCTGAAACCATTGACAAGTTTGTTTTCCTCTGCTAGGCTGGCTTCATAAGGAGGTTCAGAGCAGCAACAAGATGTCCTCTCTGAAGATGAAGAAACGCTGGTTCGTTCTGACAAACACTGCTCTTGATTACTACAAGTCATCTGAGCGCACGGCTGCCAAACTTGGTACCCTGGTGCTTAACAGCCTCTGCTCTGTGGTGCAGCCCGATGAGAGGGTCTTCAAAGACACAGGTAGGGGGAAGCAAGTGGTAATGAGCAGACTGTCTATGTGGGCAATTGCCTGAAGAGGGTATGGTGCAGGAATGTAATGGGGTGTCTTGCTGAGTGGTGGTGTCGTGATCCGCAACCTATTATATCTCCTTTTTGGAGTGTATTAAGCTTATCAGGATCCACACATGGGTATCGCCTCACACAGAGGAGACAGGGACTTTGGCCCTGACTTTTTCGAGTGAATAACTTGCTCAGTGCTTACTAATATTTCCAATAACAGCAGCCAATCCCCAATTAGAATTTACGAATGCACGGTTTATTGTGGGGAAAACAAAGCAATTTGGGGCAGGAGGTTCAAAAGGAGTGATTAAAACACACGAAATATATATGGGTACACCTTAGTTACACACCTTATTATTTAAGTGAGGGAAAGA